GCTTTTTTCTTTTTGCTTATGTGGTGCTGAGGAATCAAACCCAGGGCCTCAGGCATGCAAGGCAAGCACTCTACCATTGAGCCACCTTCCCAGCCCCCATAAGTTCATATTATAAAGGGTTAAGGCTGTTGTAGTGGAACATAGAAGCCAGATCATAACAGGACTTACTGATGTCAATGAAGCCAGCCTTTGCAGGAAAGTCTGTGAGACTCTTCCTCCAATTAATCACACACACACACACACACACGTGGAGCTGTGGCTCACGTGGTAGAGCATTAGTCTTGAGCACAAAAGCTCAGAGACAGTGCCTAGGACAGAGTTCAAGCCCAGGACTGGCAAAATAAAATAAAGTTAATCTCTACAAGAGCTAGAGTGTAGACATTGGATATTATAACAGTGAGAATGAGCAAGGACAGGGATACCAGTTAGAAGTAACAAGTGCAGGACAGAGTGTATGGTTAAAGAGGCTCAACTAGGGTAGTCCCAGTGGGTGGAGAAAATTAGGTGAACCTTAGAGATATTCAGAAATGAGTTTAGCTGGGCAACAGTGTCTCACATCTTAATCATTTAGCTATTCAGAAGGCTGAGATCTAGAGGATTACAGTTCAAAGCCAGCCCTGGCAGAATTGTCCACTAGATTCCATCTCCAAAATAACCAGCAAAAAGCAGCTAGAGTTGCGGCTCAAGTTGTGAGTGTAAGCCTAGCAAGTATGAGTAAATCAAAAAAAAAACTCTATTGAGCATAATTTAATATTTGGACCTAAGGGAGAGAAGATATAGGAAGAGACTTCCAATGCTGGCTCATGTCTATACTTCTAATTATTCAGGAGGCTGAGTTCTGAGGATTGTGGTTCAAAGCCAGCCCAAGTATGAAAGTTTATGAGGCTCTTACCTTCAATTAACTACCAAAAATGCCAGAAGTGAAGCTCTTACTCAAGTGGTAGAGTGCGAGCTTTGGGCCAAGAAGTTCAGGGACAATGCCCAGGCCCTAAGTTCAAGCCCACCAAAAAAAAAAAGGAAGGAAGGAAGGAAGGACCTTCCAAAAAGACAAACAGGTTTTTGACTTCAGTAACCGTGTGGTAGCTGTGCTAGACAATGAAGGAAGGAATACTAGGAGAGTGTGTAGAAAGATTTTTTGTTTTGTTGGTCATGGGGCTTGAACTCTGGGCCTGGGTGATGTCCCTCAGCTCTTCAGCTCAAGACTTGCGCTCTACCTCTTGAGCCACAGCACCACTTCCAGTTTTCTGGTGATTTATTGGAGATAAGTATCTCATGGACTTTCCTGCCCAGGCTACCTTTGAACCACAATCCTCAGATCTCAGCCTCTGGAGTAGCTAGGATTACAGGCGTGAGCCACCAGCACCCAGCCAGAAGTTTAGGTTTTTATAGGCTGAGTTTGGCATCTCTGTTAGACAGTGAATTGATAATTTTAGAAACACATTTGGAATAGGGATGGGTATTTGAGAGTCCTCAACATGGAGTAGATAATACCCAGGAAGGATGTGAAGAATGTGAATGGGCTAGGATCCTGAAGACACCAGTGTGTGTGGTATAACAGGGGAGAGAGAAAAAAAAAAAGGAGAAGTACTCAGAAATATGAAGAACAAGTGTCAGGTCATGGAGGTAAAAAATAGGGTATGTTTCAAGAAGTAGGGACAGAGATCAAAACATACCAGAACAGTACAATCTTTAATATACTGTCTT